AAACGAGCTTTTATTTAGGGAAATTAAAGTGATAAGACACGACAAAAGGCGTGCAGTGCCGCAGCTCCAAGCCCGCGGAGCAGAGAAGCGCGATGCGGCTCCGCTCCGCGCACCGGTCAGTAACTAAACCGAAAGATACACAGTGGTCCCCACGCAGGAGTCACCCAAAAACCCCACAAACACAGCTTGGAAATGAACCCCAAAATCACAGCGTAACAGCAAGTCCCAGCTACAGCGCCAGCTGCCGCTCGCAGGCCCCTCACCACCGTTTAATTTTATTTCGGGCATCACGTCCCAAAGTGGCCCGAATTTCCCTCGGGCCGGCGCCGACTGCCCCTCTGCAAACGCAGGCTCTGAGGCGAGAGCTACAGCAGAGCAGGGATCCGGGCGCGCCCACGGCTTTCCTGCCCGCCACCACAGCTGCGGCCTGAATAAAGCACAGGGAAGCAGCCTGCCAGCGGCCAGCATCAGCGCTCTGGAACGCGTGCGGGACGGAGACCTGTGGCGCAGCTGGGTGGGATGGGATGCAGGATGGTACCGCCTACCCCAGGCCAAACAAAAGTGACCATTATACTCGGGGATGATCAGATTTTCTTAAATTGACAGCACAAGTCCATCCTACAACAGCAGGGACTACAGCAATTAGCGATCCACTATGCTCCTGACATGCAAATTAAGGAGCACCACTGGGCAGCTGTGTCCCAGTGCCAATTACTGACCAGCTCGGCTCCTTGGACACAAGCAGGGGACTTGGGCGGCTGGAGCAGCACATGCTGTCTCTAGCTGACAGTTTCACTACTGCTGTTGAAGAGCTTTCTAAAAGTAAAGCAGACCACAACAAAACAAAACACTAATAGATTCACGTGGCAATACAATAATCCCTCGCATTTTAAGGTAAGTTAAATTCCATACAAATCAAACTTCCAAAAATATTTTGCAAACTCTGGCATATGGCTATGATACAGTATGTACAAATAAAATACCAGAATGGTTACATTTTATTGCTAGTCTTTTTTTATTTGGTTAAGGAATTATACAGTAGTGTATAAAAGAGTGCGGGAAGTGGCAAGAAGCAAGTGTTGACTTCTTGTCCTCTCAAAAGCCAAGGTTGGTTGGTTTTGTTTTGTTTTTAAATACTGTATTTTCAAATGTCACATCAAAAGCATCTCCATATTGGGTCACGTCTGCATTACCCAAACAGGATAGAAGAGCAACAGTGAAAGACACCTAAGCAATGGGTAACAGGCTTCTATTTTGTACATTCCTTCACTGATTCACACTTCCAGAATACAATTATTCATAAAACTAGAAGCATTCAGTGCAAAGTTATATAAAAGTCAACAATTATGAACCAACATCCACATCAACTGATGTTTCAGCAAGGTGGGCAATTTCAATTCACTAATGATGCAAAAAACTCCCAACAAGATCAGTGATATTTGTGAGCAAAGTCATTCGACTTGCCCCTACTCTGGCCTGCAAAAGAATCACTTCTGCAAAAGTCATTTTCTGTGTTCCAGGTTATAAACACACTCTGTGTTTAGATCCACTAGTATAAACAAACCTTTACATTCCTCTATAGTAAGGAACTATAAGGAACTTTGTAACTCCTCATTTACAATGCATGCATCAGTAGAGAATGCCAATGCGACTGTACGCTCCTATCCTGCTTTGTATATCCTTCCGTTGGCGAGATGGCAAAAGGTTAAGGTACCAAGAAGTGATCATGTTGACACTAGTCAGGAAACAGCCCACAAGCCTGCTCAGGGCCTTCCACACCTGCTCGCACACCTGGTGACCAGGAGCTTTACTCAGGATGCTTTACTCACCAGTGAGCCCAACAACAGTGGATGGAAGAAACTGGCAGCACCAGCCATCCTGTTCATGAAGATCCATAGCGACCAGTCAGCAAGACCACCGCTAGTCGTACCCGAGGCATAAACTATTCAGGTGCTACTCAGCAGGCTGCACTGTAGACTTTTACCTCTTAAGCATCTGTTGAAGTTATTGAATGCTTTCTATTTTTAAAAAACATATAGGTTCATCTCACAAAATGTAATCTGGAGGAAATACAGCAAAGCTAAAAGAATGCTGAAGTGAAAACCCAAGCACTTGGTAGGTAATTGCTCCTGTAGGCTCATAATATAAAAACACTCTCAACTCTTGACTCTGAAAATAAATCCTGCTATAGATGGGCATGACTTACCACTCCTGCTTTCCTCTGACTGAGTCCAAACTCATTCATGGATACAGTCAAAATTAGAAATCTAGCTGAAGCTCTTAACCACTCCTTTTAGGCTCAGTCTCTCATCATAAACAGCTTACTACCAACACAGCCCCTGACACAAACTTCCCCTTAAATATGCATAATTTACTCTATCTCAAATATTTACAAGCAGAAGCCACCCATCTTTACAAGACAGGTTTCCTTCTGCTCTACATAAAGTGCAGCTCTCTAATTTAAGGCAAATTTCAGTGAAATATAAAACCATCGTTTTATTTCAGTATGTACACATTTTAAATTAAAAACAAGAACTCCCTTGAAAAGAATGAGAGGAAAATGTTTCCAAGTTTGGGAATTTTCTGTATTTTAGCACAGTCCCAATATTATGTCCTATCGACATATAAATTTGTAAATTTCTCTTCAATAAATGCAAACAAAAAAAAAGAGGTGGCAATGTGTACAGTAATTTAGCTCCAAAGATCAGTAAAACACTGGGAAAGTGCAGACGTAGTTTTTCATGTCCCGTAGTTTCCTTTAGCTACAGTAGCATCCATCAATATCACATTTCTAAATATATATCCTATACACCTAAAGCTAATCTCAGTTCTTGTAATGAGTATTTCTCATCTCCATCTGTGTCAAATTTCTTAAAGCTCTGTGACTCCTGGGCTGTAGAGCCAAGCAGCTTTTGAAGATCTTCATATGACAGTTTTCCATCACCATCTTCAGTTGCTTTTTCAAACAAAATCTGAAGATCTGCAAGGAGAAAAGGATTTAAAAGTAGCTCCTTTAAGTACACAGGAATATCCTGTAAGCTGCCCTTCCCGTTTTACTGCTCTATGTCTTACTACCTAGTAACTAACTTAAGCAAATCCAAGTATGTAGCTTACTGACAGCTTGCAACAACGCAGAAGGCAACAGCTCAGGAGAAAAACACAAAAGCATGAACGTTTCCAGATTAAATCATATTAAATCTGAAAAAAATAATCCCTATTTCTGGCCACAACTAATAGCCCATTCTACAACCACTAACTGCATACAGATGAAGTTATCCTCCACAAAAGCAAGCTCTGAATGACTGTTGCTATACCAACTGCACAGATGATATAAAGGGAAAAGTGTCTATTCATTTCCTGAAGCAAAGCGTTGCCCTTTCAGTAGCTGAAAAGACTGAACAGCAAGATCCAGAAACCATTCATTTGACCAGGCAGTGTTCTCTTCAAAAAACAAAGGAAAAAAAAATGCAAGCATACATACTCACACCTACTTCATTTTCCTTCAGCACCCTAATTCTGCCCTTGACTTCTCCTCTTAATCTCTGCGGCACTTGGTATAATACTTTGGCACTCAAAACAATTACAATTCATTTATAATGCACACCTCTGTTTAAATCCCAGTTTTTCTTTTACACACTAGTCTTTTCTTTCAGTGCTTTTTTAATTGCCTTTTTTCCTTTTTAAGCAAAAGTCTGTAGTTCTCAGGCTTTTTATTTACATGAAATATTCAGACAATGAAAAGGTCAGCCTAGAAAGGACATACCTTCAATGCTGGAAATTCCTGGTAAGGACAGATGTCTCAGCTGTCCATTACCCTCTGTGTTGTCATCAGCTGACCTTGAAGCCAGCCTTGAAAGGTCTGTGGGCTTTGCTGTAGTACTCAGACTACTTTCAACTGTTACAAAACAATTTCTATTAGTCTTACTAATTCCACAGAATTATAGTTAGCAGAAACAAAAAAAGTCTGGTAAAACAAATTAATTTTTTTTTGCCATCAGAGATTCTGTGTGGGATAAGAACGTTGCAAAATAGTTTCAGAATACAGCAGTGCTGTCCCCTTTTACCAATAACTGGAAGGAAGGAAACTTATTTTGGACAGTTATACAGCTTTTATCTTTCATGCTGTACGAGGAGATGTGTATTTGTAAATCCCATACAAAGAATGAGCTGGAAATGCTTTCTACTTCCCAGTTTGAAAGTGCTCAACAAGCCTTATTAAGTGAATTACATCTGCCCACCTGGGTTGTTTTCACTTTGTCAGTGCAGGAATCTGTCTCCCCCAACAGCAAGGTCTAAACTTCCAAGTTGCTGCTTAGCAAATTAACAACAAGCACAGTTCTACTGTAATGAAGTATTTCAAATCTTATCTTCAGCACTACCTAAACATACACAGCAAGAATGCAGAACTGAGACAAGTCAGCAGAGATGCAGACCTTTCCTCTATGGTACACTTAGATTTTGAAAGAGCGAAAAAAAGATGTTACTGGGTACAAATTGCTACAAGTTAATCACTGTATGCCTTCAAATACGAGCTATTGATACAAATGAATCCTGCTGTACACATGGAAAGTCACCTTTAAACTTTTGTAGTCATACATATAGTTTTCTGGTTTAGAGCCACCAGTTTCCTACCACTTTAAATGAAATAATCTTCAACAAAAACCTTGGGGAATAACCTAAGTTATCCACCTTCATTAGTGATTCTTTGAATTACACAGGTAACCTTCAGGTTTATGGATTACTATTATACAATGTTCTTACCATTCTTTGATGTCTCAATGGGTCTGTCATTTTCTGGCTTGCCTGTGAGAGCACTGATCAGCTGAAGCTTCTCTCTTAGCTTTGATACCTGAGAATCTCTAGTTCCTGTTTCCTGCGCATGTAGAAAAAAAAAATTCTTAAAAAGCACCCCTTCAGTAGATGGAGAAGATCAGGAAAAGTAGTAATTTGGAATATATAAGTACTTTTGAGTGACTTGGAGGTCTCCAGACGGATGAAGTTTAAAATGATAAACAAGATTTAGAAATCTATATTAAAAAAAAAAATCTATGAAAAGATGTAAGGAATAAATTCACATGGTCTGTAAGAAAACAATAGAATCAGTACCTCAACTTGAAAAGTAGGCAACTATTTTGCAAACATCAATTTCAAAGCAATCTGACATTTAATTTCCCTATTCCTTATATAAATGAGCAAGACTGAAAAATTAAAATATAAAACAGTCAAACATACTTGGAGCGAACATTTATACGTCAAGTGAATTCCATAATTGTTTCAAATGTTTGTCTGCAGTACTGACTACCTTAGTGAAGGAGTCACCACATCTCTGTCAAAGTAAAACCACCGCGTTTCGTAATCTGGAGCTCCTTTGCTCTTTTTATGAGTGGGATGCAAATGACAGCTTGAGTTCACATCAATCGAAGTCCAGAACTGACAGCATAGCCAGTTCACTCACCTGCCTTCTTTCCAGAAAATGGAAACTAACCTCAGCAGCAACCCCTCTTATCCCCAGCCCACAATTTGGCCATTCAGTTAGTCTGTTAAACTTGCTCACAGTCAGTCATCAGATATTACTGACAGGCACCTTTCATCAATTCCTACACTCTGCTAGTGCAAAGCTTCTCTAAGTCAACCCAAGAAAGTTTAAGCCTGGATAAATGCTGTAACCCCATTTGTGGTGTGAACCCACAAATGTTGGGCTAGCTTTGCTGAAAGCATGGTAAACAGCACATAAATGAGCTGGCTCCAGAGTCCCCTGTTCCACTGGACCACGGTCTGAACCTCCCAAGATTCTTCCAGCTGCAGCAAAGGATATTATAGTAGCTGTGCTATGTTATCCCGTACATAGTCAGAATGATAAGACTTCAAATTATTAGAACTTTTCTTCCACGTTAATTGACTTCCTGTCCCCAAAATGAGGTGGATAAACTGTCCTTCTACTCTGGACTTTTAAAAGAAACTGGATCAGATTAGCTTGCTTGCAAATCTTTCCTCAATTAAGTCTCATTTAAAACACGATTATAAAGACAATGACAAGCTCTACTAATCCACTGTAATTTATGTTTCATTACTTTACCTTCAGTTCTTTATTTGAATGAGTTTCATTATCTAGTTGATCCACATTTTCCACTTTTAGAGAGGTAGTTGCATCACTCCCCTACAAGAAAAATGGAGGAGAGTCAAGTTTATTCATGTGCTTATTTTCTACAATAAAGTTCCCTTCCTTCAAATTTGGCAGGCATGAAGCAGGAAAAACACAGAACAAATACATGCTAGAATAAACATGAAGACAGTGGGTTATGTAATTTACTACAGCAACGTCAGCATGTTCCTTATTGCTAAACATACAGAACACATTCTCGGAGACTGGCCCCAGTAAGGCATACAGAAAGCACTGAAAGGATTTACAAACATACTTAGTATATTTTTTTTTTTTTTTTGAGAATTTAAGCACAGTTGAACAATCCAGAGGCCCATCTAGCTCCTCAGTGGCCTTAACAGATCCGTTACATGCCAGAGTGCCTTCCTAAAATATAGTTAAACAGGTTTGCTAATCCTGTCCCATTAAACAGTTGCCCAAGTCTAAATGTCACAGTGTTTTGGACATTTTTCTGTAGATTCTGCAGGGAAGAAAAGAGTACTTCAGAGACACTCTTGATGTTGGTTATCTGTTAGAAATATGGAAGAAATTCCAGTCTTTTAAAATGAAATCCTAAGTGCCTCAGATTTCATTATGATATTTTCCTTAGTCAAGTTTGAAAAGCTGTACCTGTAGTGCATAGCAAGGACTGGAACTACTAGCCTGAGCAGACACCCGTAGTCACTAAATACTTACCACGTTGGTAGACAAGTTCTCTATTTTGTCCAGATTATTCACAGCAAGGGGAGAGTTTTCTAAGAGCATAACCCTCCGGCTAAGGTTACCAATGGCTGAATCCACATTTAGAAGCTTGATGTCATTCAATTTTTGGTACGCTACTACAGTATTATTCAGGTCCTCCAACGCTGCACGCAGTGACTGGCTTTCCTGAAACATAAAAACAGTACATGTCAGTTTACTCAACCTCTGCAGCACTCTTGCTATTAACAACATGGTGACTGACCCAGTTCAACCAAGCAGACTTCAGACTGGCTCTCCACTGACACAGCTAAAAACATCCAACTGGAAGATTCCAGAAAGTTATTCCAGCTTTTGAAGTTTGAAACTGAGATTTTTCTCAGGGCTAACCTCTTTGTTGCTAATGTAATCACTTCAGCTGTGCCAGCAAACACACAAAGCCTATTCATCTAATTTTCTAGGGCAAGCTCAGTAACCACACCAACTATTTTTCCCAAGAAAGCATGTACCAGGCATATTTATACACAAGATTCATTTTTGAGGAAGATATCAACTGTATTAAATGTAAATAAATGCAGTCATTCAATTCCAACCCACTCAGCTAAACACCCTCACATTATCCCTGCTTTCCACACCTCATGACAATGAGGGTGACTCACTACATGCCACTCCCAAATTTGCTCAGATTGGCAAGTACCTGCCATAAAATCCATTTGATAAAAAGCCTGTAGCTTATTTCCGTTTACATGAGCAAAGTACACCCAGAATTTGTTTGATATTTGTTATAGTCTTTTTACTCCTCACCCGGCTGGAACACAAAAAAAATCCACTCTCAGACTAGGTATACTGTCCTGTTTGTGCAATCACAGGAACAAACTACAGCAAAATTATCTTTTATTTTGTTTTGAAGCATGCTATCTGTATTGTCTTTACAAAAAACATACTTTTTTTGTACACTACAATACTGCAAAACAAGTATCAGTGATACTTGTACCAATATTCCTTATCCACAGAAGAAAGAGATACCTGTTTGCAATTTTCTGTCTGATTTCTCTCAGTCCTTGGCACAACAGAGGAGGGAAGCGAAGTTATCTGTTTTAATTCCTTCTAAGGAAAGAAGCAGAAAACTACGTTACTAAATGCCTGTAAAAAAATACTAAGCTTTTAATAACTGGCAGGCCATAGCTAAGGATGTTTGGCTACAATTACAGTCACTCATGCCTATTGTGCATGCAGTACTTTAACTAGGCCAATACAGAGTTTTCTCTTTCAAACACAAGGTTATTTTAATTAACCCCCCAAAATTCTCCCTTTAATGAAGTATTACGATACACATTTCACTGCCACCATACACATTATCGTATCTGCAATGTTTTCATAGCACACACTGACTGAACCAAGTTTTATAACGTGTCTAATCTTGACACACAGGGGCTTTTCCCAAGGCAGGGAAACACCAGGGGAGCAAAGAGACCCCCTAGGAGCCGGCAGCTCTCGTGGGAGACGCTGATGTGGCCTGGGCATTGCCAGAGCAATGGTGGCCACCCCCTACACCTACAAAAAGCAGCCTGGGGAGCGTGAGTGTCCAGAAGCACTGTAACCAGAGCAGGCAAACAGGGTATGGGGCAGCAGGGGGGACGTGAAGGGCACAGCCCCCCTGCCAGCTCAAGAGGTGAGTTCCCTTGGTGGCCATCACCCTCTCGGAAGGAGCGTCACTATGGTATCCACGCAGCAGAAAGCAAAGTCCTCTGCGCTCGGCAGAATGGATGTGGCAACCCAGAGTGAGCTCCCATGAAAACAGGCAGCCGTCCAGGTCTCAGGTTGCAGGCAGTGCCAGAGCCTTTCCCTGGTAAGGGATGGCAGCGGTGAGAACAGCTGGGTGAGGTGTGACCAGGTGGACGACCTGCTCAGCGTGGTAGCAGAGCTGCGAGAGGAAGTAGAAAGGTTAAGGAGCATCAGGGAGTCTGAGAGAGAGACTGGTGGTGTCATGCTCTGCCCTCCCCGAGACAGAAACCGCAACAGCCACCAGGAAAAACCCAAGATCAAGGGGATCCTGTATCCTCCCTCCACCAGGCAGGAGGCAGTAGCTTAAAGGAAAGGAGTGAACGGAGGCAAGTCCATGCTCAGGGCAGCAGGTGAACCCCCTCCTTGCCCACCTCGCCTTTGCAGGTGCCTCTGTACAACAGGTATGAGGCTCTGGATGTGGAAGGTCCATCAATGGATGTCAATAGACAGATAGGAGCAGCCTCACTTTCACAAGCCCTGGTCCTCATGGGAGACTTCAACCACCCTGATATCTGTTGGAGGGACAACACAGCAGGGCATAAGCAATCCAGGAGGTTCCTGGAATGCATTGATGGTCTTCCTTCTCCAAGTAATAAGGGAACCAATGAGGAGAGGTGCTATGCTGGACCTTGTTGTCACCAACAAGGACAGGCTGGCAGGGAATATAAAGATCAAGGACAGCCTTGGCTGTAGTGACCACGAAATGGTGGAATTCAAGATCCTTAGAGCAGTGAGGAAGGAGCAGAGCAAGCTCACTACCCTGGATTTCAGGACAGCAGACTTTGGCCTCTTCAAGGATCTGCTTTGTAGAGCACCATGGAAGAAAGCCCTTGAGGGAAGAGGGGGCCCAAGAAAGCTGGTTAATACTCAAGCATCATCTCCTCCAAGCTCAAGAGCAGTGCATCCCAACAGAGGAAGTCAGGCAAAAAACACCAGGAGGTCTGCATAGATGAATAAGGAGCTCCCAGACAAACTCAAGCACAAAAGGGAAGCCTACAAAGGGTGGAAGCAAGGACAGGTAGCCTGGGAGGAATACAGAGAAATTGTCCGACTAAACAGAGATCAGGTTAGGAAAGCTAAAGTCCTGATGGAATTAAATCTGGCCAGGGACATCAAGGGTGAAAAGAAAAGCTTCTATAGATATGTCAGTGATAAAAGGAGGACTAGGGAAAATGTGGGCCCTCTCCAAAAGGAAACAGGTGACCTGGCTACCCAGGATATGGAGAAGGCTGAGGTACTCAAATTACTTTTTTGCCTCAGTCTTCACTGGCTCCCAACATAAGAAGGACACGGAGCTGTTGGAGTGAGTCCAGAGGAGGGCCACAAAGATGATCAGAGGGCTGGAGCACCTCTGCTAAGAAGACAGGCTGAGACAGTTGGGGTTGTTCAGTCTGAAGAAGAGAAAGCTCCAAAGTGATCTTATAGCAGCCTTCTAGTACCCAAAGGGGGCCTACAGGAAAGCTGGGGAGGGACCTTTTACAAGGGCATGTCATGATAGGACAAGGGGTGATGGCTTTAAACTGAAAGAGGGGAGATTTAGATTAGATATAAGGAAGAAATTCTTCACTCTGAGGATGATGAGGCACTGGAACAGGTTGCCCAGAGAAGCTGTGACTGCCCCATCCCTGGAGGTGTTCAAGGCCAGGTTGGATGAGGCTTTGAGCAACCTGGTCTAGCAGAAGGTGTCCCTGCTCATGGCAGAGAGGTTGGAAATAGATGATCCTTAAGGTCCCTTCCAACCTAAACGATTCTATAATTATAATTCAGATTTTAACTGCAAGTGTTCTTATTAAAGTAATGCTGTATTGCAGTTTAGCTGAAAAAATTTTATTTATTAAAGTAGTTAGTTAATCCCAAGTGGAGGTCAGTATAACTACAGTGAGTACTTTGTGGTAAAGATGGTCAGTAATTTCATCCTTATATGAATCTTTAATTCAGCCAACAAACTGCATCTCAACACTTCCACCATCCCCAATTCCTAAGACAGTGCAGTTACCATAAGCAGTAACCCACATCACACAGAAGCAGATTCCCAAGGCTCCACATCTGTGTAGTCAAAAGCAAAAATCTGCAGGATAGGAAGCAGAAGCAACCAACAATTCTGGCTACAGAAAAATACATACTTGATACCATATAGGAGATGGTATCACGAGATGGATTACGAGATTAGCAGTGTATTAACGTACCAATCAGCACCTACTAAAACCTCATAAGTATTTTGAAGGCATAAGGCAAAACTCCACACAGTTCTTAAACTTGCTTCACATTAGGCAGGTAACCATTAAAATGTAGCATTAAATCAGTAGATTTTCTTACCACATCGTTCTGGAGTACTTCTATGGATTTCTTGTATTCTTCAATAGCTGTCTGTATATTCTCAACATCATGAGAAACACTGGTAAGAGTGCTACCTATGTTTGCAACAGTCTGGAATAAAGAAGATGACAAAAACCTCAGCCTTCCTCAAACTGCATTGTCACAAAGTCCCAATCTTCTAAACACATTTCTTTGCTAGTGAAACTGCTGGCAGAATGCCAGAAAAACACGTACATGAATTTGAAGTATTCGGAACTTCCTTCACAGACAAAACTGCAAATCATACCCATTGCACCTCCAGACCAATAAATGAAGACACACTCCGCACCATGAGAGCTTAAGCTAGATAACCAAAATTACAGGTTTGCTACTCCCACTCCAATACAAATGTTCTGGCACTAATGAAAAAAAAAAGTCCTGAGATGAAGATATCTTACCTCCGCTCTACACAGAGTATTTGTATTGAATACAAGGACACTGACAGCACCCATTTACCCTGCCTTTCTTTTCAGGGCTACCCATCAGACACATTATACACCGCAAAACTAGTCTGCCAAAGGTTGCAGATTAGATTTTCGAGCAAGCATTGACTTTGTAAAAATGAAATAATATCTCGGAAACATCAGAAAAGCTCTCACGAATTTTGCACGTACAGTCAGCGTGCTGCGACAGCTACCTTTGCTTCCAACTGCTCCAGCGTCAGCCTTCCCTTGTCTTCACCTATGTGAAGCGAACGTCCCCTACCCTCAGCTGTTACTTCATAAACTACTCTGTAGAGCTGCACTGACATTTCAGCAGTTGGCAGCATAGCACCTGTCAGAGTCAGATTGTCAGCCAGGACATCCACAAATGCTAGTGGAAGTTACAGTAACAGAACAGAGCATGCCCTTACGCTTCTCATTCCATTTTTAATACTTTCTTCAACCATTAAAACAAGCAGGACCCATCCAAAATCTCTTCCTATGATCCTGTTATGCTCATAAGCTCTTTCGGCACTGCAATGACTCTCTAGCTACCCAGACGATATTCAAGCGATATCCACACAAATCTTCCTCCAGGTCTTCATTTTGCAAGTCTGAACACAGGTTCAGCAAGCAATCCCTCTGCCCTGGAGGACCTCAGGACACCTTCAGCACCCTCCATCTGCCTGAACAAAAGTCCCTGTCCAAGAGGAACACCCTCAGTAATCCCTCAGGACTCCAACATCAGCAGGTAGCTCCCCATTTTCAGGAACAGTACCTAGAGGGAAAAAGGCTTAAGAAAACCAAAATCGTGTTCCAAGAATAGCAGTCATTTCCTCCAAGAAAGGCAGGTAATTCCAAAGACTGCTGGCTGCAATGGACAGTTGAGCAGGAGATTTTTCACAAGGGCAATCAAAAGGCAGGCTACCAACCTACAACCACTGAAGCTCTCCTGTGCAACAGGAGGTAGTGCAGCACGCAGGCAGAGGTCAAGAAGAAGCCCAAGTCCTGACACTTAATGCTTTTTGTTAACATGACACTTACAAGCCATTAAAACTACTGTATTTAAACCTCAGAATAGTTCTTCTGCACTCAACACCTCCTGGAAGGATTCCAGCTCTGTTTTTATCATATCAATGTTGGAAAACATAAATGCAAGTAATACGGCATCAAGGGAGCAGTGGAAACAGATGCCACATCTAACACCTTACTTAGACTCAACAGCGGAGACTGGAAAGAACTCAAAGGTCCCAAGATCTCTCATTTTCACAAAGCATGACCAAGGATGGACTTATTTCAACATGAAAAAGCCTTGCTGTTCAGCACATCACTGCAGGCTGAACCCTGCTGGCCTTAACACTTTGTCCTGACAGTATTGAAGGCAGCAAAATGACAACAAGGTTTTCTGTATTATATAAACAAAGTCAGTGCAGGTTCCAGACTCCAGGTACTGCCTTGAGACTTACTTCTGATTTGACACAGTGAAAATCCAGCATACACATAACAGCAAATTAGAAGCTTAGGAGGTAGCTTTGTACTCCTCCCAGAAAAAAAAATCCTAGCGGCCTGATCAGCCAAACCACACTAATTGCATATAACTAGCTTGTTGATTATACATAATTTTGTAGGGATAGGAAATGAGAAGTGGAAACCCATAAAATCCACAAAGAAGACTACGCTGACATTAGATGTTAGCCCAATACAAATGTTTATTGCTAAGTAAACAGAACTTCCATGGAAAAGTCAGGGAAGTTTCAACAAGCTATTCTTTTTACCAAAATAAACAGGACAGTTCTTCAGCTAAGGCACACAGTAAGACACTGTATTAACAGAAGTCACTTCAGAAGTACACTGTGTCACCCAGCAGGGCCCCTCTTTCAAGGGATTGTCAGAAAACCATCCCAGTACAACTCACATTTTGCTGTGCATGTACTGAACACCAAGAAAACCCCCACGCTACTGTTCTGGGCCCACTGCTCCCAAGTTAGACCCCTATCAACCTCAAGCCTGTAAATGCAGACCCAGATGTAGGACTACGTACTGCTCAAGATAAGGTAGTTTTCCAGAAAGCAATCAATTTTCTTTTCCAATTAAAAAAGCTAAACAAACCACCTATTTGCAAGCAGAGTTGTAAAACTGCAGACGGACTTTTTGCAAGTGTCTTAAATGATATGAAAATCAACAGCTTTAACGAAAGCAACCAGAAAGGTCAGCTCCAAGATAAAGAAGTGACAACATAATAGAGACAAACACATTTCCAGAAAGGGACAACTAAGGCCTTCAAATTTTTTTATCCACTATACATTATTGTAGGACCATACAACATCAAGTATATGAAGTGCAATTTAAAAACAAGATGGAGGAGCAAGTATTTCTCACATGTAATTCGGGTAACTCCTGTTGTCACTGCTGTCCCCAAGAACCCAGCTGCAGCTGAGAGCAGCACAGAACGTGTTTAGCGACAGCCACATTTACAGTACTTGCCTTCTGAAGTTTCTCTACTGTGAGAGGAAGAGAAATCAAATCAGAAGCAGACTTTATGTTGTTTTTGAGATGATTTACTGTTGAGGTCAATAGTGATATCTACAAACAAAGAGGAATATTTAGAATTAGTCAACATAATCCCGATTCTGACCTTCCCCAATGTTAATGACTTAATTTGTAACATTAAAACATAAGGCAAGACAAAATTATATACGTAAACACACACAACACACCCCTCTCTCTAGGTTAGAAGTCCTGCCTAGGCTACATTAAAAATATTCTGCCTCTGACAACAGAAGCAAGATTTTTTTTACTTTTTTTTTTTTAAACTGAATGAAAGCCATAGATGCCCCTTCTTTTCAATAAGATACCCTCTGCGCATTTTACATTCACCTCCTTGGAGAGAGGCTGTTGGACAAGAAAGATTTTAAAAATTGTGCAAGAAGCAAACAGTAATCCACTTCTGTATTTAGCAATCAAACCTGCCTGGCAAAACCCGGCAAAGCCACACAACTTTTCTAGCTGAGCAATGGGCAAGCAAGTTGCACGTATCACCCGAACCTCCTACAAAAGTGAAATAGTGACAATCTAGGTACAGCAGGTTAGCTCAATTTCTGTCAATTGTTTGATCCAGACAGCAAGTTATTCAATGGGTCTTCAAGATTACTTATTCATTCCAATTGAGAGGTTGTCAAATAAATGAAAAACAACTACATGCCGGTCATTAATTGCTAACGCTATCACTTCAAGATCAATTTGTAGCCATCAGTAGAAAAATTATTTCTTCTCACATTTGACAACACAAAAGTAGAGTGGATAAAACCCACTTTCTTCAGCTTAAAAAAAAAAAAAGTTGTTTTGCAAGCTGAAGAAATGGGCAAGATTCTAATTTTACATTAGGCCAATGCTGATCAGGTGGTCTGCAGAGTCTTTGGTTCCACAGCTGTGAATATTGGCTGAAATAACTCCCAGCAGTACATCCCAACAATTCATGGAAGAAAAAACAGTAACTGAATTTTCATTCCCAGAAGAGCTGGCTCAGACTGTAACCAGACCCTAAAGTAACTTAAGTGCCTGCAAGAACCACGTGCAAGTATCTTTAATGTCCAGGTGCAGACGATAGTGTTTTAAAAGTCCAATGAAGGATCTAAATATCTGTGGATAACGCATACTGTCAGATGCCAAAGAAAGCAAGCCAAATTTTCAAATATATTTATGTGCCCTGTTAAGCACTTAACCACTGCATGGGACTGAAGAAAAACCAATCTGAGCAGGCACCTCAACACATTAAAAATTAAACCCAAAGCACTGTCAGGGAGGGTTCCCCACACACACCTCTTGAAACCACTAACTGTGACCAGCTCTGAACTTTTACCCTCCATAGCAAGAATTTCAGTAAGAGCCTTGCTGGATGCTTTCTTTAAAGCATGAGTTAATACAGCAGCTGAGGAAACAGCTTTCTGTTAAGTGGCTTAGTTCTAGCCACGTAAACAGAGCTAAGATTTACACCGGCTCAGATTCTGAGTGGGAATTAGCAGATTTTATATTCACGAGACACCAGCACTTCGTTTGTAGCAACAGGAACTTGCACTGATTCAGGTAACTCCTTTCCATGCTTATGAAACATTTGCAGACACTCTCAGAAATTTGACAAGTCAAATCTCTCATCATAAACATCACAATTATTTGGCAGGACAGTTAAGAACTGCACAGTTCTCAGGTTTTTTAAGTTCTGCCTGAGGTCTTTCCACCAGTTGTGTAATTTCTCCTCGCTGCAATCAGTCTCCAGTCCAACTGAACGCCCAAACTTTTTTGCTTTTTTAATAATGGGGCTTACACTCTATTTTAACTTTAAAATTTTAGCATATGCTGACAGAAGTCCTTAGATAAAAAGCTCAGCACTGCACTTGAAATTAATTTCTATAAAAATAAACTTGAATGGAGTATTTTATTGTTTTTCAAAACCAAGCACTGATCCCTCTCACCTGTTTATTGATCTCTGTGATATTTATCCAAATTTTATTTAGCCCCTGTTCTCCAGTCTCAATTTGTTCTAGTTGCTTTTGCTTCTGCACCAAATCTTCATTCAGTTTTGGAATTTCTTGGAATGATGTCTTTTGATTAGATTCCACTAAAAAAATGAAAAAAAAAAAATTTGTTTTTTAAAAAAAAAAGTCCAGGTAAACAATGCTGAAAGGCAGAAGACAAATTACAAGCAGCAACATCTACAGCAGTGAAAGGCGGCAATAACAGTTTCTACAAATGGGTTTATTGCCAATTCAGAATTAAGTGTTTGTTCAGAACAACAGCTCTTTTTTGTTTTAAGAGTACTAATGTCTGCAGAGAGAACCCAGAGAGACCATACTACATTTAACACTTTGCAATAGTACTGTCATTCTGGCAAGCCTCAGCAGGTCTTTATTTAGCGCGGTTATTTCGCGTCACCTTCACAGAGGAGCATGAGATAATAACGAGACCATGAATAAGAACTGCCAACAGAACCAGGGCAAAGGAGGCAGCAAAACAAGCCTCAGTGCCCTTTCCAAGCCTGCAAAGGGGCTGCTGAGGATGAAGGGAATTCCAAAACGATTACTGCGATTACAGTTGTTCCGTGTGACAGAAAGACAACTGAAAAAAAATGTATGAGCTTACACACTAACATCTGTTGGCAAACAAATCAGTAAACAAGGTCCTTGGAAATAAAGTCAGTTATTACCGCGATTAATACCACAGGAAGAGAGAAACATGCAGCTCAAACTAATTTAAGCAAGCCTCAGAAATGCAGCTCTTCCAGGTCTGCAGTGACTAAGCTGTTTAGCTGCAAGCACTGTTAGGCAACCCTAAATCTCTAGGTCTGGGAAACAAATAAGCAAAGGTTTTGAGATGGAGATGACAGTTGTCCACAACGTGCACCTCCACCCTGTAACACAGCACTGGAACGCTCCACAACAAACAGCCATCATTCAGATCACAGACTGCCAAGAGCGGTGGCACCTGTGAGGTACGTAGCTGGCAGCTCCCAGGACAAGTTTCCTCATGTGACCCATCCAGTCAAAAGGGGAAGCCTTCAGGAGGGCTTCATGCCCGTGGAGCGGATGCCCAAATACAGACAACTGGAAAGCTGTTCCATCTTCAAAAACCCAATTCACTTTTCCTGAAGCAAGTTCTAAAAGTAATTTCTACATACAGACTAATTTGCATTGATCACTCAAGATCCAAATTATGCTTTTGGTTAAATAAGACCTTGAGAGGTGTATTTTAGCCAAAACAGACCGAGAGCTAACTGTGCGTTTGACACAAGCAGTTCACACTGAATCTGGTATTTCAGAGGCTCTTGTACACAAGTTGTTCTCCGTTTTGCCACTCTCACTGCGTACAGCGAGACTCCACTTAACTTTCCTAGCACTGCAAAAACCTCTTCAGTGCTACATGCATTCTTAGCATCATTACTAACGACCGAAGGGAAACACTACAATAACTTTCCCCTACCCTAAACATACTAGATGCATACTAGATCTTGTTTTTAAAAAGCACTCATACCGTACTAATTTTTTGCAAAGGACGGCAGAACATTAACAAATACCACCACAGGAATCCACTCTTATGGGGAAGATATCTGGATGAAGATCGAGAGGAGGAAGATCCTTTTTCCAAGCCTGCTGTAGGACAGATGGATCTCATGCCTTTGTTTCTCCATCCACCCACCCATCTCACTAAAGCACAATGTTACCTTTGGAACAAGGTTATTCTTGCAGTCTGTTTTTTTGTTGTTGTTGTTCTTTTTAATGCTCTGCCTCATTATAAGGCTCCCATCCAGCTTCTAGGCATGCTATTACAGTGGCAGGAAATCTGAGACTAGTTTATCACTGGACCAACTATTAAATGTACAGCTTTTCTATCAGAGCTATTAAGGAGAAAACAAGCACATCTGTAATTGCCAGACAGTAAACTCAGAGACAACAACTGCTTTAACAAAGAGGTCTATGTAGAACAGGAATGATAATACACCAAAGCCAACAAATGTTGTCATTGTGCAAAACTTTTACTGCCAGTACATACTTAAAGCAGACCCGTCCATGAGGAGCAGCAGCTTACTTGGAGCACAGAAACAGCTATGGCAGAGCCGCTCAGTACGTGCACAGTCAAAGCAGCATCTGTAACTGCAGGTATCCTCAAGAGTTCAGTATCAGACAGTATGAAAGCACACCTATCAGCAACACTTTCTCTCATTTCCAGCCAGCCAGCAGGTTCCACCTCAACAGACAACTCCCCACCTCACAGCAGAGTTACGCACCTGAACAGGAAGCCTGAAACACCAACAGCAAAGAATTTCTACACACATTTCCTCAATACCTCTTTTACCACAAGCAAATCAAGCCCTCGGCTTACCTCCAGCCCTAGCAGCCTCCTAATTTTTTTACTTGATTTCACCTGCCTTATTTTTAAGGTCACCTTCATGCCTTGGGCACAAACATTCTAAGATGAAGACCAAAGCTATGGGACAAAACCCACAGCAGCACTCCTCAGGCGAAACGTAACTACCTACCTTCCTGAAGCAGCTAGAGACTACCTGAATGCTTAAGCTTCACTCTCTTCTGCTCCATTCACACAGCTCCTCAGCTTATCCTTGCCTTTTTCAACATGTAGGATTTTAAACACTACTAAAATAAGGCACCAAAACATATCTTGTGTCCAGAAGTGAGGTATAGAGAACCAAGAGCATATGTTACATGCAAATCTCATCATTTGTTATACCTCAGCACTACAGAAGTTATAGTATTGAAATCTTACACAGACAGGGAAAACCTGAGACCTACAAGCAAAACGCTTCACATTAACTCCATACTTCAAAGCATTAAACATGACGCAACTCCACACCAGATGCAACACGACATAAAAGCAGAACAAGAACAGGTCAGTGCAAGCAAGATAAACATTTCAGAGGATATGAAGAAAACATGTAATACCAAAGCAACATTCCAATTGCAGAAACACCATAGCAAGCACTAGAGGTTTTTAAAAGAGCTCAAGATATAAACATTCTTTTCCATTACTTTTTTTAAGGGATGCATCCCCTAAACTGCTTTTATGAGGCTGATCAGAACTTTTTCGTTTTAAATATAGGATTTCTACGGAAGAGAACACTCAAGATCAAAGTCAGGAATTTTAGAAATGTATGTACAAGCGACTACAGGCCCACCTAGTCCAGCATCTCTGCTTCTCAGAAGATATACAGCAGGAAAGCATATCTAACATTTGCCTTAGATTCGCCAGCCTCCGAGTGCTTTTGGCTCAGAGGACTTCTCAATTCAGGGGCAGTTTGCTGCTCAGTACTTTCAGACTTCGAATAAGCAGGCAGGCAACTAAAGTTTTTCATACTCCCCAAAGAAAACATGAACTAATGTAGTTACGTTTATACTTACTAGTTCGAAACTTCTCCTTTATTGCATCCAGATCCTCCTTGAGAGCCACCTGCATCCAGACTAAGCCAACACACGCTACCACACAAGCAGCAAGAATGACAAACGCACATAATGGGTAACAGAATTTGCAGCATCGTAGATAGTCTCCCCTGTGTAAAACAAAAAGAACAGATCGTGAATATTCCAACAGCATCTAAAAAAGTTTTATTTTAAATGCTAATCTATCAAAGTAAGGGACAGCGTAGGAACAACACACGCTTTTTGGCTGACAAGATCTAACTAAGAGCTTTTCCAAGAATAAATAAGGCTATAAAGTGAGATCAGGGCTATTACTTTGTGTTCCGTTTATCCTCAGGAGGCACATCTAGCATATCTAAGAGCAGCTGTCAGGTTTCTCCTACTAAGAATTTCCTGCTCTGCTCACATAAACTTACGTTAGGAACATCTGCTTGATAGCTTAGGAAGCAGGCTTCAAGGAAGGGTATTATCATAACGTTATGACAAGTACTTCTAGATTATCCAAAACTGCAAAAGCCTAAGTTTCTCTGCAACGTGCCCACTTTTAGCTATTCTTAGAGGCCCATTAATAACGCTGTTATTTAACTGAAAAGTTTATCTACTGGCGAAAACACGTCACTCCATGATAAAACCAGCACTGCGTCAGCGCACAGACACAGGATCGTGCCGCGCTGAACGCGCGGGGACAACACGACTGTGCTCGACGCTTCAAGCGACGGACCCCGAGCTGCTCGAAGGACTTCGGTTACAGCGAGAGTAAAACACAAAAAACGAGAAGAAAAAAGCCAGAGAACGCTTCAGATCTGCTTCCACACCCAGCCAGGCGACCTGCGGGGCCGGACACACTCAGCGCAGCTCCAGGGCTCCCCTGGCAGTCCCCAG